TTTTCCCATGTAGATTGTTATGCCAATCCCTGTTGAATAGGTGGAGGCACTAGAACTAGGAGGAAATTGTAGTGTTCTTACTCTCCATGCTGTCATCCTCAAACAGCACAGTGGAAGAAGGATTCCCTTTGGCTGGTGAAATCTTCCAGATGCTACTGTTTCAGGATGACAGTCTGCCGAAGGATATTTTATTTGAGAATGGTTAATACGTAGTCCTTTAAGTGCAATCATTTAATTTAGAAATGTGCTGAGCACATGCTCACTTCCCTACTTTGCCTATGTAATTGAACAAGGGGAAAAGGAATAATGCCAAAACTGTTCACAATCAGGGAAGGATTCTCTGACTTGCTTCCCCTTGGGGGAAAATTAAATATCTCCATATAAATGCAAATGATCTCCTAAGCTACTCCGTGAAGTCCTGTAACAGGAAATGGACAAGTTTAAGTTTTTTTTTTTAATGACTTCTGAAGATGCTTAAACATTTATTTCTAAAGGGGTTAGGACTTGGCAAGGGATAGTTGGCTGTTTACCAAGAATCTTCAAAGAGCAAAACTAGTCCCACCGGCTTTGAAATGGAGAAAGAAATCTTTTTCCTATAAAAATCATGGGGGTATGAGGATTTGGAGAGGGACCCACAAAGCTGGGAATTTTAAAAGGAGGTGTTAAGAAGGAGTGGGTGGAGAGAGAAGGCTAGTCAGGGCACCTGTTCTGAAATCTAACCTTCCAGTGTTCCCACCTACATAAAGTATTTTGGCCATAAAGAACAAAGCTAAATGTTTTATTAGTTCAAATGTGGATCAAGAAGCCATAGAATAAATGACAGATCATCCCCTGCTTCAGAAATCTGCAATTAACTGTCCACTTAATGGGTCAATTTAATGGATTTTAGCACATCTAGAGAAACAAGTCACCCATTAACCCCCACAATAGCTACTTTCTCATTTAAAAAAAAAGTTTTGTGCCATGAAAAGTTTCCAGCCTTTTCTGTTTTTCCTCACAGTCTTTTCTAATTTCCGCTGTTATAAATCAATTTAGATTTATTAGCTTTATACAAAAGAACTCCAGTAGGTTCTTAATAATAATTATCATTATTACTGATTAAAGTTATATTATTCATGCCAGATGGAGCCCTTTTCCTGTCAGCCAGAATGAGTTTGCATTATGTAGTTATAATGTGTTTGTGATCTAAATAAACAGATGGCAAAGAGTGACAGGAAATTATACGCTGATGATGTCAGCAATAGCGCTTCACAGGCATAATTGCCTTAAATGAACTGTAATATAGCAAGGATCCGATGCTTATATAAAGGTGGCTGGAATGTAGTGCATATAATTACTGTATAACCTAATCAGTAATGCCATCCATATCCAGCTGGATAGAAGGACAGGGGAGGATTTAAGTGAAAATGTATGTGTATGTGTCTATGTGTGTGGAGGGGAGTTGGGAAGAGTTTTGTCAGCACAATTTTAACAAATGAGCTTTAAACATGATATGTTTAAATAGACATGCACCAATGAAAAATGAGGTAGCTGACCAAGCTGGTATATCTTCCAAGTTGAGGATATAAATACTATAGGCTACATCCTGTCAGAAGAGAGATAGACTAAAGATGCAGAATGTGACAGATTTTTGGACATGATCAGTAGGGAAATTTATTTTGCTTAACTATGTAGCTATGCAATTTGTTACTGTGTATGATTTGTTAAAGAGTGTATTTATTATTTTTTCCCATGGGGAGGAGGAAAAAAATGCTTGGTAAGTGAAAAATATAAAATTTAAAAGGCTATATTCCTTAAATTAAAATCAGACCATAGACTGATGTCTGTGTCATATCTACCCTTTTCAAGAAATGTTTGCTAGGTGGCTAACAAGTTAATGTTACTGCAATTATCCAATCAATATCTTTTCTTTCAGAACTGACCATAGAGAATGAAATGGGGTTTAATAGAAAGGGCTAGGCAGAAAAGCAATAACAGATGCCACATAGAGATGGTTTCACCTTACAAATAAGTAGAGGCTGCATGATATAGTGGAATATAAATATAGGTAGGCTCCAGGACACTATATCTAACTATTAGGAGACTGAGATTCTAATTGCAGTTTTGCCACTAAGTCACTGAAAGGCCTGGTGGTACCATGGACAGAGCATTTGCTCAGGACTCAAACGATCTGTATTTAAGTCTCTCTTCTAAGGCTTACTACCTCTGACCTTGGGCAAGTTACTTAATATCTCTGGGTCTCAGTTTCCTCATTTGTAAAGGAGTCTGGACTAGATGGCATCTGAGGTCTTTTCCAAATCTCCCCTTTTTTTTTTTTTTTTGCTTATAAACTTCAATCGACCTCATTTCCTCTCTCTAAGGAACAAGAATGACATGGTCTTTAAGTCGCCTTCCTCCTTTAGTAATCCATGGTTTTGTGAAGTCCATCTTTAAGTATTCATTGCCCATGTTATTATTACATTGAGCCTGAAGAAACAGATTTATTGTTGCTCAGTTGTGTCAGACTCTTTGTAACCCTATTTGCAATTTTCTTGGCAAAGATATTGGAATGGTTTACCATTTCCTTCTCAAGCTCATTTTATAGATGAGTAAACTATGGCAAAGTGGGTTAAATGACTTGCCCATGGTCACACAGCTAGTAAGTGTCTGAGGCCAGATTTGAACTCAGGTCTTTCTGACTCCAGACCCAGTTCTCTATCTACTGTGCCACCTAGTTGAGAAGAAATCACATAGCAAGCTTTAAAGAAATTAAGTGTCCTGGACCTCTTTTTCTTAGATCTACTGGTTGAGTTCTGTAAATCTACCTTTGAACCAGCTGTCTATTTGCTTTAGGCAAATGCTTTTGATAAAAAACTCATAAGGGGAAAGAGACAGTTGGGAGGGATAAAGGACACATTTATAAATGGGAAAGTTCCCGCATCAAATTTTATAAGCTCAATTGGATTTTATAGGCCCTTAGCTCTTAAAAAAACATATGTGAGATTGTTTCACTACATAGAGAAGTATGAGAATTATGCTTAGAACATTTCCATCCTAGAAGCATATTTATTAGAATGTTATTACTCTTTATGTAGTTTTCAGTATGATTATTCGAATATTAATTCCATCCTCCCTCACTGGGAGTTAGGATTAGAGGTGGAACTCCCCAAAAGATCCATGGTAGATCTGTTAGACAAAGTGAAAACTTGTTTCACATATCTCCCCCTAAAATGGCTCGAGAGAAATTCCACAAATTCAATCTTTTTGTTGTTTTTAAATGAAATGATGGGAAGTTTTCAAATACCACAAGTTGGTGTTCCAATCCCATATATATTTGACATTCAGGCCTTCCCGTTTAAGTGGATTTTTTATGGGCAATGTTTCAACTCTAGTGCAGCATAAAGATTCTCATAAAGGAGTGAAAGTCGTTTCCCTTGAATGATCACTCTTGGTCAATAATTGAAAGATTCTAATTTACATACTCTTCCCTTCTGTCCTGCAGGTGGGCGGTGCCACAAGTCTTGCACAGGCCGATGTTGGGGACCCACAGAGCACCACTGCCAGAGCTGTAAGTCATCGACAGGAGAAAAAGAAAGAGAAGAATCAAAATGGTCATTTTTTTTCTTTTTGTTTTCATCATTTTCTATGCCTGTGGCATAGGAAAGCATAGCATAGAGGTGAAAGTGAGAAGGAACATATTCCAGTTATGGGAAGCATGATATGCAGAGGTGTAGAAATGGGAGGTTGAATCTTATTTCTGAGAAGCAGCAATTAAACTAATTTGTCTAAAATGTAAGAGTGTGAAAAAGAAGTAGACTACAATGCATGAGCAAGTAAATATGAGAAAGGTACAACATAGTGCTCTGGAAGTTCAGAGGAGGGAAAGATAATGAAATTGGGGATTGATTATTTGTTTCAGCCCCTATAAGGGTCAAGGAAATGACATCTTCCGAGAGGTGTCTCTTTCTGATACTGAAAACGAAGCAGGAAATATCTCATGTGTCGTTTGCTGGTAAAGAGTGGTGGCAAATGACAAATTGCATGGGAATGGAGAGAACAAGGCCCCAGTAATGAATGTCTTGTTAGTGGGGAAGTGAAGCAAAGAGGAGAGATCTGAGTGAAAACATCTTGGCCTGAACCAAAGTCGTTGGTAAACAAAAATCCAAGTATCACAAGGGTTTCACAACATTTATGGACCTGAGCTGAGATTTGCAGGAGACAGAAATTTTAAAAAGGAAAGTGAAAATTTTTGTATAATTAGTGGAACTTGAAATTGAAAGTGTGACCATTCTGACAATTTGATAGGGATAATCATCTGCAAACCTGCCAGACCTAGACTTGGCAATGAAAAGGCTTTGTGACTTAATTTGTACACAGGATCTGCAAGCTGAGGTTAGCCTTGATCTGCTGCATAATTTAAATGTCTCAAATTTTTGTGTTTTCTTCCCAAAGCACATAATGATTTTAAGATTAGCAACTGCTCCCCCCAGGGCAATCCATCTTCTTCATCTTCATACCAAATTCGCAAATATTTGTACCTTTATAAAGCCCTTAGTGAAATACCATCTATGACTAAGTGAAGTGTGATTAATGTAAGTGTTGCTTTTGTTCCTGGTGATGAACCAGTCAGTGACAAGAACATTTGGAACAACATTGGTGGAGATTGCTTTAAATTGGATTTATTTCTAGTGCTATATGCTACAGATCACACTAAGTTATGGGCTTTGTGTGAAGATTAGAGCACATTGGACATCTGTGGAGACCAAAAACATGTATTGCATTTGTAGTTTTAGACCCCACCTGAAAATCAGCATAGGAAAATGGCTTTACAAAGCTATTTAACATCCATTTCCTCAACTCTCATTTGACATTAGAATGGCTATATCCCTATATAAATCTCAAAAGAGAATTTATTCCTTGCTCAGTTGCCAAGGGTTTGGACCAGGCTTTTGATCAACATTGGGAGCTATGCCTTCTATGGACTTGTGATTCTAAAAGTATGGTATTTTTTAAGGTGGGTAAAATCGTTGCACACCTTGTTACACAAAACAGCTTAAGTAAATTGATTCAGTGGATTAATATAGTCATGTCAGCTGAACTGAAGTCTGAAGCCTTTGCATGTTATTCAGTAGGCTTAGTTATTCCTTTAGCTTAAGAGTGACAACTCTCCATTGGTAAGAACTGAATCCCAAGAGCTGAGCCCTCTGGGTACTGATATGAGGGTGGCTAAGCCTTAAGAAATCAATAATGATGATGAAAGGAACAAAGTTATCTCAGGGCCAGCAAAATATATGAAGCCCCCTTATCTCATTTAAAATAGTTCCTGAAAGTACACTATCAGCATGGCTTTCTTAGAGCTCCTGTTGTCAGGCATGTTTGTTGTTTCATCTCACCTATGCCTTTTGTACTCTTAGGAGCTGTGTCATGTTGGCTAAATATGGCATTTGGAAGAAGGGAAAATGTAGTACCTATCAGAGAAGTAGTTAGTAGTTCTTTAAAATTATCACCAATTTTGTGCCCCAAATCAAAACCTGACTCTGTCACCAACTAAGCTGTGTAATCATAGTTATAACTTTTCCTGTCCCAGCTCAGGTACTCCTGTATAAAAATCTCACAATGCTATATGAATGTGGGCTACTATTGTTATTAATATTAGGTAATGACTCTTTTTTTTTTTAGTTGAGCAGTGCATGTGTTTTTTGGGCTACATATTCACAGATTTCCAAGCTACTACTCTTAATGTTGTTTAGTTGTTTTTCAGTTGTGTCTGACTCTTTATGACCCCTTTTGGGGGTTATCTAGGCAGAAATATTGGAGTTGTTTGCCATTTCCTTCCATAGCTCACTTTACAGACGAAGAAACTGAGGCAAACAGGTTTAAGTGACTTGACCCCAGTCACACAGCTAGTAAATATTTGAGGTGGGATTTGAACTCAGATCTTCATGATTCCAAGCCATATTATCTATCCACTGTACCACCTAGCTGACATAACTACTCTCAGAAGTATCATTCATTTGTCAAATTAATTATATGTTTCATTCTTACACACATACACACACACACTCACACACACATCACACATACACACACATACAATTTTACTTCATTTAATATGAAATCTCAGCAATGTGAGTATTGCTGATCACAACCTATCCATACCTTGTTACCTACAGATACTTTTGTCTATGTCCTTTCATAATCCATAGAGAAAGAGACCACCCAATGTATTGGAGCTCCTCCTTTGATCATTTAGCAATTCCTGGACACTGGTATAAAGCTAGTATTATCCATCTTTTTTTTTTCTCATGCTACTTAGCCGTCTCACCTATTTTTCCAGTTTCCTGGTTGATCTCTTTTAATCAATCAGCCACTAAACATTTGTTAAGCATTTATTATGCACCAGACAGGGCAGCAAGGTGGATTGAGCACCTGCCCTGAAGCCAGGAGGACCTGAGTTCAGCCTCAGACACTTACTACTTATGTGAGCCTGGACAAGTCACTTAACCCTCTTTGCCTCAGTCCCTCATCTATAAAATGATCTGGAGAAAGAAATGGCAAACCACTCCAGGATCTTTGCCAAGAAAACCCCAAATGGGGTCAGGGAGAATCGGATATGACTGTAACAACTCAATAACAACATTAACAACCACTACCACCAACACCCTAACATGTGCCAGGCATTGTGCTAAGTTGCTTTTATCTCTTTTCTTAGGTACCATCTCTGTTGGTAATATGCTTCAGCCTATTTATATTCCAACAAGGTGCCTCACTTGTGAATGTTAGTATCATATGAGATTTCCTTTATTTTGTTTATAAAATTTATTCATAGATACAACTGCAGAGTTAATTTTATTTGATGATCTGCTGATTATCGATATCACAGTATGCAAAAAAAAGAGGGAGATATATGCTCGCCAAAGGGTTGACCACTTTTAAAAAGTATATTATGTTTGCAAGTGAGTTGGAAGTGAAAATAATTGCAGATGATAAATCCTTCCATATGATTGTCCTGGCAGCTTATTTGGTGTACTGATTCTGTCATTCCTTAGAATACAGTGTTACTTCAGTGGTATCCATGGCCTTTCAAAAGAGATAGATCTAATCATCTCTAAAGGGAAAAAATAAATGTGGAAAAGGAATGTTGTTGTTCAGTCATTTTCAGTCCTGCCCCACTCTTTGTGACCCCATTTTGCAAGATACTAGAATAGTTTGCCATTCCTTCTCCAGTTTGTTTTACAGATGAGGAAACTTGAGGTGAACAGGGTTAAGTGACTTGTCCAGGGTCACACAGCTAGTAAGTATCTGAGGCCAGATTTGAATTCAGGAAGATGAGTATTCCTGACTCCAGGCCTGGCACCCTAAACACTGTGCCACCTAACTGCCTTAGATAAGGAATATTTATTACCTAAATTCTGACATGTAGCTATTTCTTCAACTCATTAGGTCAGTTCATCAGTATGTATGTCTTGGCAGGGGAAGAAAGTGGTATGGATTATGTTTTGGGAATTGTGGAGTGTTTTCAATTTTCTTGTTGACATAAAAAGTTATCTTTTTAATAAAAATGTTCTCATAGTGATGTTATAAGTCTGTGACTCATGAAATCATATAATCTGCAAAGAAATAAAAATGTGGATGACTCAAAAGATAATAGAATAATGCATGATGGGTATAATTAGGCTGCATAATATTGACATGATTAGATAGATATAAAGTTATATATAATTTGATTTTTCAAAGTTTTTTCTTTATTGGAGGAATATATATCTTTATATATATATATATATACACACACATACATATTTACATTATATATATTTTCCCAGTAAAGGAGAAAAAAAGGCATATATCTATATATGTTGTTCTTGTTCAGTCATTTCAGTTGTGCACAATTCTTTGTGATCCATTTGAGATTTTCTTGGGAAAAATAATGGAGTGGTTTGCCATTTCCTTCTCCAGCTCATTTTACAGTTGAGGAACTGAGGCTTACAGGTTAAAGTAACTTGCCCAGGGGTACACAGCTCATAAGTGTCTGAGGCCAGATTTGAACTCAAGAAGATGAGTCTTCCTGCATCCAAGCCCAGTGCTCTATCCACTGTGCCACGTAGCTGCCCATCAATATCTATCTATGCCTGTATACTTTTGATGAACCATAATTAAGGGTTGAATCTGCCTTCTAAGTGAATGTAATTAACACATTCGTGGAAAACTCCCTATTTTTCCTGATGTTGTGCTTATCAATATTGTTCATTTTTACTTGTTTGCTGAAGCCAAATTTCTAGTATGATTTGTCTCCACTCAACACATGGTCTCGATTATACTGTCCCTTCCTCATGTGACATGTGCACCTTTTTCTACAAGAAAACAATTTAAGTCCTTGTTTTCCAATTGAAAATTGAATAATAATGATATTACTAGATACAGAAAGGTAGATGTAGATACTGCAGTTGGTTTTATCTTATCAATAAAAGGCTTTTTGGCAGTTTTTATACTGCTCATTTAAAATGAATTAATCTATACAAAAACTTTGGGGAAGATATGGTTTCTACACAGACATTGTAAATTCCAATG